CCTGTAGTCCCAGCTACTCAGGAGGCTGAGGCAAGAGAATTGCCTCAGCCCATGAGTTAGAGGTTGGTGTGAGCTGTGTGACGCCATGGCACTCCACCGAGGGCAATAATGTGAGACTCTGTCTCTATAAAAAAAAAAAGAATCACTTAACCAGTGGTTCTCAACCTTCCTAATACTGCAGTGTATTTTCATTGTTACAAAGGGGTCACAACCCACAGGTTGAGAACCGCTGGCTTAAGTCAAGAGTTGGAGTTTGCTATGAGCTGTGATGCCATGGCACTCTCCTGAGGGAGACGTAGTGAGATTCTGTCTCAAAAAAAAAAAAAAAGGAAAAAAAGAAAATGTGCTTAACACCTAAACTGACATGACTATCTCATGGTGACACAGTTCTTGAACCTGTTCTGCTGGCCAGTTTGAGCGTGCTTTTGCGTAAGATATCCCTAGGAAAAAGTCATTGATCTCATACTCCTCAGTTGGCAGGTGGTAGAGGTAAAACTCCAGGTACATGATCTTCATGTCCTTAACCTGGGCATTTCTATGACTGATTGATAAAGTACTAGTAAGAAGAAAAAAAGTTTCTGGGGGAAAAAAAAAGTGGTGTTTATATTGTGGGTTTTTATTTTTTGTTTTGGTTTATTTTTGAGACAGAGTTTTTACCTTGCCACCGTGGATTGAGTACTGTGGTGTTATCATTAGCTCACAGCAACCTCAAACTCTTGGGCTTAAATGTTCCTCCGGCCTCAGCTTCCCATGTAGCTGAGACTATAAGCACCTGCCACAATGTCTAGCTACTTTTTCTATTTTTAGTAGAGACAGGGTCTCGCTTTTGCTCAGGCTGGTCTCCAACTCCTGAGCTCAAGTGATCTGCCCACCTCAGTCTCCCAGAGTGCTAATATAGGCCTGAGCCACTGTACCCAACCCCCCCTTTTTTTAATTGTTAATTGCAGGTTGTCTATCTTCTTCAACCTTAAAGTAGTCTGTCTTGAGTTGCAGGTCATTGGCGGTATAAATTTCAGTAAATTGTCTTCTTTGGCGTGACTCTCAACAGGTACTAGAAGCGCAGAGAAGACATCAGAAGGAGAAGTCTGGCATCATACCTACCTCACCAACGCCCTACACTTATAACAAGGTAAGGGAAGAGATATTTATCTTCGCTTGGTAGAAGTAGCCCCTCTCTTTCTATGAGGCATTGTAGCTCCCTGGGAAAGTGGCTGATTCCATTCTTATCCTTTACCCCTTAACGTTCTTTCCCCAAAGAGTGGAATCAGTCAGGCTTGCAGAAAAGCATTTGGAATTCAAGGTTTTCTTTGATGAGATATGAAATCAGGTTCTCATTTAGCTTTTGCAGCAGGATGTATGGGTCCTGATCACCTATTAGGTTATTTATTTGGCTGTCTTTTCAAACCACTGACCACATTGAAGAGACATGGTTGGCTTACTTCCTCCAGGTACCATTCTTCCTTATCCTGTAAAATACCCAACTTAGAACAATATCCAGTACTGGCTTGGCACCTGAAGCACAGTGGTTATGGCGCCAGCTCCAGCCACATACACCGAGGCTGGCAGGTTTGAACCCAGCCCAGGGCAGCTAGAACAACAATGACAACTACAACAAAAAATAGCTGAGCATTGTGGCGGTCCCCTGTAGACACCAGCTACTTGGGAGGCTGAGGAAAGAGAATCACTTAAGCCCAAGATTTGAAGGTTGCTGTGAGCTGTGATGCTACCTCACTCTACAGAGGGTGACAAAGTGAGATTTTGTCTCAAAAAAAACCCCCACAATATCCAGTATAGAAAGCAAGAGCTCCTGAATGGTACTTGGTACTATCATGGTTCCTAATCTGTAGCCCACGTATCAAGCATCTCTATTCTAAAACCCAAAAGGTTTGAGTCTTCTTCAGATAGGTTGTAGAGTCACTGAGGTAGTTCAGGAAAAAAGTGCAGCTTTTGGGGGACTTGAGGCTGGACATAGATAATAGAGAAGGAATCAAAGAGGTAAAATGGCAGTAGGCTGGGAGACCTACTCTGGCTCCAACACTCGTTAGCTGCATGACATTGGTAAGGTTACTTAGTTTTGTTCCTCACGGGGGGACCTAAGAGATGAAACAATCTGTAAAACGAGGGATTTAAGGACTCTTCTTACCTCTCTTAATTTTATACTGTGATTGTGTTCTAATACATGGGTCACATCATCCACTGCAGCCACTAGTGTGATGCTGAAACATGGACAAGTGCTGGAGTCACCCCTCTTTCCAGGCTCCCCTCCTAGTAGCACACAGCTATGCTGTAAGGGGGAGTGTTGAGGCCCCAGTGGCATGCTCATCGGGCCTCCCTTCTCAGGTAGAAACCCCTTTTATTCCCCAATTCAAGAGAGGTTTGCATGGAAGTCTCTGCAGACCCAGTTTCCAAGCAGGTGGAGCTGTATTTAACTAAAATAGGAATCATTTTAAAATTAGTAATCAATATAGTGATTACAGGCCATGGAATCACCTTGATATCTACAAACATGGTAGTTGGTAAGAGTTTTCTTTCTTTCATAATATCTTCCCCCAGAATGTTGTACATTCTTGGAAATGGACTTAGTGAGTCTTTCATGGCCAAAGGAAGGCTTTAAGATCTCCTTTTCTTTTCTCTGATGTCTCTCCCTGTTCTGTGTCCAGCTGCTTTGTGCCTTTACAAAATAGCTCATGCTGTATTATACCATATTATGAGATCAGCCTACATGTGTCTTAGCTGCTTTGTTTCTGCACATGTTTCACAGCCAGCAGGTTTATATCTATTACTTCTCTGGCTAAAGGCAAAGTAACCTCCACTTGTACTCAAGAATCAGATAGGTATGGCTTGGTGCCCATGGCTTAGTGGTTAGGGTGCCAGCCATGTGCACCAGGGCTGGTGGGTTCAAACCCAGCCAGGGCCTGCTAAACAACAATAATGACAATAATAATTTTAAAAAAATCAAAAAAGAAAAAAAAAAAAACAGCCGGTCCGGGCATTGTGGCAGGTGCCTATAGTCCTAGCTATTGGAAGACTGAGACAAGAGAATTGCTTAAGCCCAAGAGTTTGAGATTGCTGTGAGCTGTGATGCCATGGCATTCTACCAAGGGCAACAAAGTGAGACTCTATCTCCAAAAAAATTAAATAAAATCAGATAGGTACTTGGGCCTATGCAGAATAAAAGAATTATTTACTTTAGCCCAGACTGGCCTTGTATGATGGTTTGCATATATATAGTGATGGTGGCATAGAAAAAATACGGAGAGAAGGTTTGGTTTTCCTGAGATTTCCTGAAACTTTCCCAGTCTCTGTTAAGTGATTCTTAGTGATACCAGCCTATATATGACAGGGGCTATTCCTGGTCTTGTTATGGGGGCATTATTTTGGCATTCTACCATTGCTATGAGTAACCATTTTCTTTTTGCTTTCAGAGCTGTGACTTGTGGTCCCTAGGAGTGATTATTTATGTGATGCTCTGTGGTTACCCTCCTTTTTACTCCAAACACCACAGCCGGACTATCCCAAAGGACATGCGAAGAAAGATCATGACAGGAAGTTTCGAGTTCCCAGAGGAAGAATGGAGTCAGATTTCAGAAATGGCCAAAGATGTTGTTAGGAAGTGAGTCCAAGGGTTGCTGAGTGGGGAGGGTATGGTGGTGGAGGTCAAGGGATTGCTGGGTAGAGAAAAGTCATTGATCTCCCAGGTAGGCTCCTTCCCATTTTCATATCACAGAAATCTTATCCCTGGACTCTGAGGTGAGAGGTCTCAGTGTCCGTGCCTCAGTGAAAATGAGTTTTTCTCCTTCCTTTTGCATCCCTAGACTTTATCCCCAGAGTTGTGACCTGGTATTGTCCTGACCTTGACATTTGTCCCTCTGTAGCCAGCCTCCCTGGGATCAGAATGCTAATGGGCCCTCTGGTGGGCCCTCTTTAAGCTAGTATGACATACTGGCTATTGAACTGGAGTGCTGATATGATGATGATGACATGTTTGGCTTCTCATTCCTTGGATTCTGCAAGTGTGTTGTTGGGTCAGTCCTGGACACCACTCTCCAGCCTTCCCACTGCCAGTTGGTCGCCCTAACATATATTAAAATGGAAAGATTTAATAAGAATTAGGGCTAGCTAGTAGGAGAGGGTGAGTTGACATTCAGGGTCCTTTGGTAACTAGAGGACTAGGTTACAAGTCAGACCTAAATTTGACGTATGTTTGCTTTTTCTGCCTGTGGCCTTAGGCACCGTCCCCATATTCTTACTGCTTGGTTTTCACTAAGCAGTTTCTCCTTTGTTGGTCTCAGTTTCTTCATCTATGTTACGATGAAGGTAAGTGTTAAAGGGGCAGAACCTGGGAACTTTCCCCTGATAGTATAGCAATTTCTTCATGGAGGTTACTCCCTTTTAAAAGTAAGCTTGTAGGTTGAGTGTTGTGGCAGGTGCCTATAGTCACAGCTACTTGGGAGGCTTCAGCAGGAGAAAGGATCACTTGAACCCAGGAGTTTGAGGTTGCTATGAGTTAGACAAACACCACAGCACTCAAGCCAGGGCAACAGAGTAAGACTCTGTCTAAATAAATTAATTAATAAATAAAAGTTAGCTTGTCTTATTGGTTAGGGGACCTGTGCGCTATAAAAAGGGACTATTTTCTAAAATAAAAGTTCTTAGGCCAGGTGCAGTGGTTCACGCCTACATTCCCTGGGAGGCCAAGTCAGGTGGATCACTTGAGCTTACAGGTTTGAGACCAGCCTGAGCCAGAGTTAGACCTGGTCTCTGAAAATAGCCAGTTTTGTTGCGGACATCTGTAGTCCCAGCTACTTGGGAGGCTGAGGCAAGAGGATCACTTGAGCCCAAGAATTTTTTTTTTTTTTTTTGAGACAGAGCCTTAAGCTGTACCCCTGGGTAGAGTGCTGTGGCACCACAGCTCACAGCAACCTTCAACTTCTGGGCTCAAGCGCATCTCCTGCCTCAGCCTCCCAAGTAGCTGGGACCATCGGCACCCGCCACAACGCCTGGCTGTTTTTTGGTTGCAGCCGTCATTGTTATTTGGTGGGCCTGGGCTGGATTCAAACCTGCCACCTTAGGTGTATGTGGCTGGCACCTTAGCCACTTGAGCCACAGGTGCCGAGCCAGAGCCCAAGAATTTGAGGTTGCTGTGAGCTACAATACCATGACACTGTACCCAAAAAAAAAGTAAAATAAAAGTTTTTAGGAGAGTAGGGGCAATGTTTAAATCAATACCTGTCTTCAAATGCTATTTTCATGCTATTTATAGCTATTTAATCAAAGTTATAATGCTTGTCCCTGAAACAACATTCATTATCTTCTTTCACTTTTGGAATTCTTTCTTTTGAAATCTGAAACTGTTTGTTCAGAATGATCCAGAAGGTTGCAGACAATCTGAAGAAGCAATTAGGCATATTGTCCTGACCTTGATATTTGTAATGAGAGGAGTTGAGGGGCAGGGCATGCTGAGGTAAGTTAGGAACCACATCAACAGGAATGGATGAGCTGTGAAGAAGTATGAAGTTACTTATTTCACAACCTTTGCAGACATTATCAGCCAAAAGAGCACTTTGAGTTCCTTTTAGAGTCCATTGTCCTCGAAACCCCTAATCATGGTCTCAGGAATTATAAGTCATATGTAGGATTACCTTATTGAGCCCTAGAACTCATAAAGCATCATTAGATTAACCTTTTTCCTATCTTTTTAATCTTACTTTGTCTACTATAGAAAGGACTGCTTTAGACCACACAACCCCACAACAAATGGTTAGGGACTAGAGTCCCACCCTGCAGAATGTCATGTAGGTTGAAAGCCTAGGCTAGCAAAAGTTAGTGAAAAGTCACAAGAAGCCAGAGCTCTTAGAGCCAAACCCAGAAACTTCCTATGGCTTTTAGGGATCATCTGTGCATGGCAGCCCTTGGCATTTTCTCCACAGGCTCCTGAAAGTCAAACCAGAGGAAAGACTCACCATCGAGGGAGTGTTGGACCACCCCTGGCTCAACTCGACTGAGGCCCTGGATAATGTGCTACCCTCTGCTCAACTGATGATGGATAAGGTTCTGAAAGATGCTTATTTTGTTGGCTGAAAATGCTGTCTTGAGAAGGAATGCTGGGGCCTGACTCAGTGAAGGGTTAAAGGCAAAATAATGCAGAGTATGCAGTCTTTCCCAGAGAATGATCTCTGGTTTCCTGAGAATCAGTGTCCAAAATAAAGAACTCTTCCCATAAAAGACCAGATCAAGGCTTGGTAAATATAAACTAAGGGGACACTTAGTAGAATATCCTCCATATTTGTGTTAGGGGATTGGGTTCACAGAGTGATATGAGATACCCTGTCATCCTCCAAAGAGTTTAACAAGATTGTTGGGGAAGGCAAAGCCAATAAACACAAAACCAAGAGGGAATATTTTAGACATCAGAGTTTTTTGCATGTTAAATTTTCTGTGAATGCTGTTGGGATTCAGAAAAAATCTTTAAAGGGGTATAATTTGCCCAGAGAGAAGGCAAAACCTCTTACATTTATTAACTCTCCACTGTGTGGCAGCATCTGAGCTCTTTCACATGTTCAGGCTTGAGCTGTCCTTGAAGAGTGCAGGGAAGACTCTGTAAGTGCCCAGGTGCAGTCAACACTAAAAGCAAAAGAAGTGCATCAGTAGGAAAAACAACATGGCCTCACTAATGGGAAGTCAGTGAAATGAGTGTGACAGGACAGGCTTTGCAAGTAGACAGAGGGAATTAAGTCTTAGTGGGATGTAACTGAGAGGCCTGATAGACTTTTGAGAAGAGATTTGCTACTGGGAAGATAGTTAGGGATGGTCAACCAGACTTGGAGACTTGCCATCCTAGGATTTTTGCAGTAATCTAGAAGCTGAGGCAAGCTCTGGGAGCAGAGAAACAGATAAATGAATAGGCTCAAGATTTTTTAAAACAAATTTCTAATTGTTGATGACTGCCTAGATCAGTGATTCTCAACCTGTGGGTCACGACTCCTTTGTAACAATGAAAATACATCGTGGCTGGGCAACTGCCTGTGGCTCAGTGAGTAAGGCATCAGCCCCATATACTGAGGGTAGCTGATTTGAACCCAGCCCCGGCCAAACTGCAACAAAAAAATAGCCAGGCGTTGTGGCGGGTGCCTGTGGTCCCAGCTACCAGCTACTTGGGAGGCTGAGGGAAGAGAATACGCCTAAGCCCAAGAGCTGGAGGTGGCTGTGAGCTGTGACTCCATGGCACTCTGCCGAGGGCAATAAAGTAAGACTCTTTCTCTAAAAAAGAAAAGAAAAGAAAGTACATCTGCGGCATTAGGAAGGTTGAGAACCACTGACCTAGATACAAGGAGATAGTGGGTAGCTTATCTGGTAATACAAATTAAGAAGGAGGCTGTTTTGTGTTTTTTTGGGTTTTTTTTCCAAGTTACTATTTTTAGAGATGGGGTCTCACTCTTGCTCAGGTTGGTCTCGAACTCATGAGCTCGGGCAATCCACCCACCTCAGTCTACCAAGTGCTGGGATTACAGGTGTGAGCTACTGCACCCAACGTTGAAGGAGGCTGTTTTTGATGAAGTCTCTTCGGTTCTACGTAGTGTTTGAGGTGACAGAGGGACATTCAAATGAATTAAATGTGTAGCATGGTACTAAACTGTGACTGAAAGGTCAAGGCAGTGGCACAGACTTGAGGGTTACCAGTTCTGAAGAGATGGGGATGGAAGTATGACAAAGAATAAGCAGGCTAAGCACCTATATGGGCGCCTATATAGGCTGAGCGCAGTTAGGGCGCTGGCAACATATACTAGAGCTGGTGGATTTGAACCTGGCCTTGGCCTGCTAAACAACTGACAACTACAACAAAAAAAAATAGCCGGCTGGCGTGGCACCCATAGCACAGTGGATACAGCACCAGCCACACACCCCAAGGGTGGTGGGTTCAAACCCAATCCGGGCCAGCTAAACAATGACAACTGCAACAACAACAACAACAACAACAACAACAAAAAGTAGCTGGACGTTGTGGTGGATACCTGCAGTCCCAGCTACTTGAGAGGCTGACGCAAGAGAATTGCTTAAGCCTAAGAGTTGGAGGTAGCTGTGATCTGAGACACCATGACATTCTATTGAGTACAACATAGTGAGACTCAATCTTAAAAGAAAAAAAAAAGCCAGATGTTTTTGTGGGTGCCTGTAGTCCCAGCTACTTGGGAGACTGAGGCAAGAGAATCACTTGAGCTCAAGAGTTTGAGGTTGCTGTGAGCTGTGATGCCATGGCACTCTACTGAGGGCCACATAGTGGGACTCTGTCTCCAAAAAAAAGAAAAAGAAAGAAAGAATAAGCAAATGGGAAAAAAGCATGCCAAGTGTAGCTGGAGCATGGGAGAGAAAAGAAAGCTGGAGTAAAGAAGTTTCCGGTTATTTCTTTGATTTGTGGGTGTTGTATTCCTGGTTTAAATATGCCCTGTAGTCCAGAAATGGTTTGGTCAATCCAAAAGCCAAAGGGATTACTTAGATTCTGGTTGTCATCACGTAGGCACAATATGGCATTCTTCAAGATCTTAAAAATATGGAGGTAAGTGCTTTCTGGAGTTACTTAAAAATCTGTCCATAATGAAGTTAAATCTGGACATACAGAATCTTGTTATGAAAAAGAATGGCTGTAAGATGAAACTACACTGGACAGTGTGTTCCTATTTCTGAAGAAATTGTGGGTATGGTGGCTCACACCTGCATCCCAGCACTTTGGGAGGCCAAGGTGGGCAGATCTCCTGAGCTCATGAGTTTGAGACCACCCTGAGCTAGAGTGAGACCCCATCTTTAAAAATAGCTGGGTGTTGTGGCAGTCTCCTGTAGTCCCAGCTACTTGGGAGGCTGACGCAAAAGAATCACTTAAGCCCAAGAGTTAGAGATTGCAGTGAGCTATGAGGCCATGGCACTCTACCAGGGGTGACAAAGTGAGACTGTCTTAAAAAAAAAAAGAAATGGTGGCTCGGCGCCTGTGGCTCAAGTGGCTAAGGTGCCAGCCACATACACTTGAGCTAGTGGGTTTGAAGCCAGCCTGGGCCGCCAAACAACAATGATGGCTGCAACAACAAAAAAAAAATTAGCCAGGCATTGTGGCTGGTGCCTGTAGTCCCAGCTACTTGGGAGGCGGAGGCAGGAGACTCACTTGAGCCCAGGAGTTGGAGGTTGCTGT